TGTGTGTGTGTGTGTGTGTGTGTGTGTGTGTGTGTGTGTGTGTGTGTGTGTGTGTGTGTGTGTTTAGAATGATTCAAACAGACAACTCACAATACAACTCACATATCAACTTCTACCAGATTATTTTGTAACCTGTCTATTGGTGGGTAGATTTGCAAGTATTTGTACTTTCTGCACCAGATATTTTGTAAACTTTATTTATTTTTATGGTAATCAATTATGTTATTCTTCTCAATGTACAATGAGGAAAATAAGTATTTGAACACCCTGCGACTTTACAAGTTCTCCCACTTAGAAATCATTGGGAGGTCTGAAATTTTCATCTTAGGTGCATGTCCACGGTGAGAGACATAATAAATAAATAAAAATCCGGAAATCACAATGTATGTTTTTTTAAATAATTTTTTGTGTGTTAAAATAAGTATTTGAACACCTGTGAAAATCAATGTTAATATTTGGTACAGTAGCCTTTGTTTTCAATTACAGAGGTCAAACATTTCCTGTAGTTTTTCACCAGGTTTACAGCAGCAGGATTTTGGCCCATTCCTCCACACAGATCTTCTCTAGATCAGCCAGGTTTCTGGGCTGTCGCTGAGAAACACGGAGTTTGAGCTCCCTCCAAAGATTTTCTATCTACATAGGCAATGTAGGTCAGAGCATTCCTGATGCATCCTTACATTTCTATACTGATGACACAGTTGTTTATTGTCGAGCTAAAACAGTTGCTAAGGCTTTCCAGCTTTTGCAATCCACATTTGACATCATCCAGTCTGATTTGTTCCACATCAAACTTGTCTTAAATGCTGAAAAAAAACAAAGGGATGTTTTTTTTCAAACAGGAATTTGGTCCCAGCAGTTCTTCCTCCAATTTTATCCTCAAATGGTGTCCCCATTGAGTTTGTTGCATGGAGCCCCAGTCCGAGGGAGATTGACAGTCATGTTTAGCTTCTTCCATTTTCTAATAATTGCTCCAACAGTTAATCTTTTTTCACCAAGCTGATTGGCAATTGCCCCATAGCCCTTTCCAGCCTTTTGGAGGTCTACAATTTTGTCTCTGGTGTCTTTGGACAGCTCTTTAGTCTTAGCCATGTTAGTAGTTGGAGAGTCTTACTGATTGTGTGGGGTGGACAGGTGTCTTTATGCTAACGACCTCCAGCAGTTGCTTCTAATTGAGAATAATAAGTGGAGGTGGACTTTTTAGAGGCGGACTAACAGGTCTTTGAGGGTCAGAATTGTTGCTGATTGGCAGGTGTTCAAATACTTTTTTGGAGCAGTAACACACAAATAAATTATTCAAAAGTCATACATCGTGATTTCTGGATTTAAAATTTTTTATTTTTTATTTTTTTGAGATTGTCTCTCACAGCGGACATGCACCTAAGATGAAGATTTCCTGCATTTCCTTCAGACAGTAGCGGCTGTGGCTGAGTGGTTAGAGCAGTCGCCCTCCAATGCAGGAGCTGGGGGTTCGAATCCACCAGCAGTCACATGCCGAAGTGTCTCAGGGCAAGACGCTGAACCCCTCGATGCCTTTGATGTGTGTCCCATCGGTGTATAAATGTGATAAAGCACTGATTAGTCTCTTTAGAGTGATTTGTCCAATTAGCTTTGTAGAGATCTAGTAGAGAGCTATATGAATGGGTAAATGAGGACACAGATTGTAGTGTAAAGCGCTTTGAGTATCTCGATAAGATAGAAAGGCGCTATATAAGTACAATCCATTTACCACATGTATTTAGGGGAAGTTTTAAGAGCAAAACAATAAAATTATGCATTTTATTGTTTTTTTCCGCAGTTTTCTTTTTTTTATTTGATCACTGTGCAAGTTGTGTCCAAAGAAGTAACTTCATGTTTTTATCATTTTTATGCTTGCTGATACATTCACACAATACATACCCACTTACCTGGATTGAACGCAGATTGGTGTCTGTGTCCAACAGAATAATGCAGAAGAGCTGCGAGCAGAACGTCTGCGCAGAGCCACAGAGAAGCTACGAAGTCCAGTTATCTTCAACAAGGATTCTGCAGTGAGGAAAACACAGCTGAAGTCCTTCAGCCAGTATGTTGAGAACAGACCAGGTGGGGACAATGCAACACAAACACACACGATTCATGCAGTATTTACCAAATGAGGCCTGTTTACACCAGAAACACTTAAACCACTCAGAGTCACTGCTTAGACCTTTTAATGACTTTCTGAAGTATAGATAATTGAAGGAAATGTGGCATTTCACTTATTTTCTGTCACTTGTAACATCACAAATGTAATTTTTGCAGACGTAATCTTCAAAAAATGATAAACAGCAATTACTTTACTGCCATGAGAAGCGATGAAGGTTGAATGGGGAGAGGTTGTAAATTGTGTAGCCCAAAACCAAGTCTTGTGATGGAAATTGAGTTTCCACTATTAGTACCTAAGTTGGTCACAAATGAAGAACAGGCCACTCTGATAATTGAATTTTTCAACTTTTACAAGTTTTCCTCTGATTATCAAAGTAGGTTTGTTGATGCAGATGTTGATTCTTACATTTTAGAGGTGAAGCGACAGAAATCTGTTCCTGAAGATCTAAAGAAGGTTGACGAGGACAGAGGTTCTCCAACAGAAGTGGACCTTTGTAAACCATTTGAAGAAGAGGTTTGTGTTAGTTTTTTTTAATCTCATATGACTGAAAAAAACATAAAAATGAACGATAACTGTCTTCAAGTGAACTCTAGATTTATCTGGGAGTTTGTCAAAATGAGTTTGTTTGCAGCCATGGGTAGCACTAGGGTTGGGCATCATTTGAATTTAAACAATTCCGATTCCTTGTTTAAATTCCGCTTCCTATCGATTCCTGATTCTGATCCTTTTTAGGGGTGGAGTTAAAAAAAAAAGTCACCTGTTAAAAATGAGCTAGCTAGCCAGAGTTCTTTCTGGATGAAATAATTTGAATTCTATTTGAATTTTAATTCTATGAACTTTTTACTTTTTATTAACACACAAATGAATTATTAAAAAAATCATACATTGTGATTTCCGGATTTTTTTTTTTGATTTAGATGATGTTTCTCACAGTGGACATGCACCTAAGATGAAAATTTCAGACCCCTCCATGATTTGTAAGTGGGAGAACTTGCAAAGTCGCAGGGTGTTCAAATACTTGTTTTCCTCACTGTACACACACACACACACACACACACACACACACACACACACACACACACA